GGCACAGTATGTTTAGTTCTTTAGATCTTTATTTTCATCATTTACTCCACACAGATAGCAAGTATTATTTGTAAACTTCTGTAACATTTGGTAAAACTTTACCTGATGATGACTTTCTTGTTGACTTGGTCTATCTTTGTGCGAACGAGTTTTGATCGAAGCGCTGATGACAAGAAAGAAAATGCCATGAGCAGAAGAGGTCCAAACGATAATGATATGGAGCCCAGCACAGTTAACACTACGATACCAGACCTATCACTGACATCAGTCACACAATGTGATGTTCTAGAAAATATCCATACCCCCCTGCCCTCCACCCCACGGAAGGATCAGAATTTTCTGGGGGTGGGGTGGGGGGGGTGGTTCTGTAATACAAAAAACTTAAAGAAACATATGAAGCTTAATTTGAATTCCCAGAGGGGTAGAGGGTTCTTAGAAAAAAATCCCTTCTGTGGGGGAGGTGTGGATATTTTCTGGAACAAAACAATGCCCTTTTTCCCAATAGTGATCAAGCGGGTGGCTCATAACAATAAGCTTGCATATTTCTTTCCTAAGCACCAGCAAAAATAACAGTATGTTTAAGTACCTTCAATGACAAATGCCTCGACTTCATCCAGACCAAAATTGAGTTCTCTGCAGAGATCATCAAAATTTACTTCAGATTTTGTTTCTCCAAGTGACATGAATGTCAAAACACGCATTTTATGAAGGTTCTTCTCATGAGATAAACCTGCAAAAAATAAAAAGTGTCAAATTGCAACATTGGAAGTATTGTAATGTTTCGTACTTTGTTGTAACAGTATTTCCTCTCCCCCCACCAATGGAAATAGAAGTTAAATATTATGAAGTGGTGGAATATTCATAAGTTAAAATGAACAGAGAGAAAGGAAGAGTGGGATGTGGACTAGAGGAATTGTCAAATTATGAAATGAAATCAGCAGATGGTACCTTTTTTTTTAATTTATCTACTCATTGATTGATTGATTGATTGATTCATTCATTCATTCATGAAGAAAACACTTACAGTACAATAAAACATAGAGTAAAGTAACTTCCGTGCAAAAAGAAAACTACGGCACTTCGAGGACTACAATAGATATAGAAATAAATTAATGCAAGGTGGCACTGATTAGAAATTGAAAACCATGACAACACTGACACAAAGTAAGTAAATTAATTTGTCCTATTAAGACATTGGTGGTGGCAAATGGTATCTACTGCGAGTGGAGGAGCAGGGTCCAGACACTGAATACAATACAATTGTACTCTTTGAATAGTCTGACAAAGGCCTATAAGCTGCTCAGTATCAGCACAGTGTCAACAGGCAAAGCACGGAGAAATTAGTTATAATAATAAATTGTTACACCAGTTGAAAAGCAATTTGCTGTAATTGAAAAAGAATGTACCATATGACTCGCTTCAAAACTCAGAACCTACCATATTTTCAGTGTTTCTCCTCAACTTTCTCTGATGTCTTTGGCAAATGAAATTCCTCAGGTCTAGTCTTAAGGTGATTATTGTACTTTCAGTCTTACACGAGAAGAAATATAAAACCTAACAAAGTAAATGTGCCCAGATCTTACCACAAGAATCCACAAAATCTTTGTTCTTTTCATAGAATTCCATGTAGTCAGCCAGTCTTCCAGAGACAAAGATGTTTAGAAGCTAAAGGAAAAAAAAAAAACATTTCATGTTATTAAAAGGGAAATAAACGTATGTGAATATGTCTTGGGGAAATGTCATGTGCTTAAAGTTTCATTTGTTTGAACGCACAGGATATTTTATGTACCTGATAAATAGGTTCGCCTTGCAGTGCCGCAACTGGTGGGAGTGTGAGCAGGAAGTCCATAATCAGCACATTTGGTCTTCCCAAAAGGCTTATAATGCAGTTTGTAGCATCATCTTTAACCTCTGATGCATTTTCATCGGAATATGTCCTGAGGAGCTCCACCATTACAGCAGTTGCTTCTTCACTGTAACCGAGATCAGAGATACACAAGTAACTGTAAGCTGAAGCATTTTAAAATAGCCAAAGGAAATTTTGCAATCTTGAAAAACTCATCTCCTAAAATAACAAAGCAATGAACTGTTCAGTTTTATAAATCAATTACATAGTACCTTTGCCTGTCCTCTGTCAGGGCATCAAAGAGTAATCTGTAAACATGTCTAGCCTTCTCCCCATCAACTTCCCACATCTTTAACCAGGACTTAACCTTATAACATAGTGATAAAGAGTATTATAAGAGTTCATGTTTATAACACATGCAGCACACATACATGTACATGAATGCATACACTGTCACAGAATCCAAAACAAATTCAAACAATCTAGCTTGCTTACATGCATATTGCAATATCCCTTTTCAAGTTTAACTTTAGATCCATTTGCATTATAATACAATCTAGTATGTATGTGATGCAATTTTGGGCTATTTTGTAGTTTCTGCCCAAAATTGCCTCGCATCTTTGCTGGATTAAACTGTCATGCAAATGAAAAAAATTAACTGTGGAAAGGGATATTCAGAATTACAGCTGTACCAAGCTTGGTATGACAGAAGATTTCAGCCAACACATTTTTATAGTCACATACTGTACATGCACATTGTACAATGTAGCTGCACGTACTTAATTAAATATATTCAAGTTATAAAATTATTGCAATTATTAAAACGCATTTTCTAATACATGTATTTACCTGATCCAGTGATACAGTAATTTGATCCATCAAACCAGCCTTTCCTGCCACCTTTATCAGTGTGCAGTAAACATCATATCTGATGGGATCTCTCTCGTGAAGCCAGTTCAACATGATGTTGAGTCTAGTCACACAGATCAAACAGAACTAGTGTCAGTGTTGGAGCAAGATTTCCACTTTCACAAGCACCTTGACCAAGGATTTGTAAATTTAAGCTAAGCCTAAAACAACAAATATGCATGGAGTACATGTAGGTGTCAATTACTTTGTTTCCTATTAAGAAAAAACAAAAAACCTGACATGTTCCCAGGTCAAAGACACAAGGTCTTTATTGTAGGAGAACCTGGACTTTCACTGATGACAACCCAGCTACATGTTATTGCATAACATACACCTGCATCTGAAGACATCCAAAAAAGTTTCGAAGGTTACCCAGTCCCAGGATGTTTTTTTTTTCCAGACATAACCTTTTCCTTTCCAAAAGGGGAGCACTTGAGTGAAGTAGTGACATTAGCTTAACTTTTTCAGCTAGGTGTGGCAAATTGGTCTGTAAGCATACGCATGTGACACCCACACCTAACGCATGATATATAGTTGGCAGGTAATCTATACAATACAGCTAGCTAAATCTGCATGTTTGTACTTACATTCTCAGTCTACTCAATGCTGTATCCTCCTCTGAGTTCACTTCGGCTACTTTGTCACAAAACTTCTTAATCAAGTCATCTCTCTTTTCTGTTACTACTAATATCAGGGACAGGAGGCTGTTCATGACACCTTCAAGTTCTTCAAAGGAAATAAAAAAGGTTATGCATGAAGCACAGTTATGATGACATTATAAGGGTTTGATGGCAGCTGATAAATACTGCACAGCAAATGTGATTATATAATCATGGACTGTTCAGCAGGTAGGCCTAACAATTATCTTTATCTCTCCTTGTCTACTCAATTCTATCCTCTGCTCAAGAGACATCTGAGATAAGACACTAGAAATATATAGAGGATATTACATAGTGGTGCTAAGATAAGAATACACATGTTAGTAATATCTTTTAAGTGGTGAAAACAAAATTCTCTGAATGAGTTTATATGGTGAGTAAAATATTGTTTTCAACATAAACATTAACTTCATACTATCATGAATCTTTAAGCCACCATGTAATTTTCTTTGTTAGACTTATCTACCGCTTGCCATTTTCAATGACTGTTTGCACAAACAKACAGGAAAAGGGAAGAAATAACATCATCYACATCCTCACTAGTGAAAATAATTAATYTYTAAAATGTGCATTTCCAGAAAATATCCATACCCACCCCAAGGAAGGTTAACGGAAATTCCAAGGGGGAGGGGGGTTTCAAAAGCCCAATTTTTTAAAGGAAATTATGACACTAAAATGGAATTTCCAGCGAGGTGGGGGGTTCAAGTTAAAAAACCTTCCGTGGGAGGGGTATGGATATTTTCTGGAACAACACAATACACCACTCAGGTGTGGGATGTATCCAGACTTAAGGGACCTGTTTTTATATTTGTAATACATGCAAATACACCAAACTGATTATGCAGCTACAGAGATCTGAGAAGTCTTTTTTGATTGTTTGTTGCTCAGTTTTAATTGAATGACTAATACTTGAACAACTTGTTAATGTTATTCTTGTGGCACATACCTGATTCAGTTTTGAAATTTATGTCACATGCTGCCAGTAACTGATCTAAGTCTTCGTGTAATGGAGATGTGCTCTCTTCTTTTATATCTGCACCACAAGATTTTAGATATCCTCTGATCTCCTGTGCCTAATTGAAACAATTCAATATTATTACTACCGAAGTCATACAAGTGTGAACACGTGTGTTATCGATTATTCTTGAAATTCTTAAATGCACCCAGAGCTTTCGTGAGTCATGTTAACTTAGTCAAGCTAATCAATTACATGTAGACTGCCCACGTACGTAGGCTCTGATCTAGTACATATCTCAAGTCATTTACATGTAATAGTACATCAACTTTCACAGTTTTGCTCAAATTACTTGACACTTGTACATAGACAATTTGATCGTGGGGTTCCTAAAAACATAAATATAGCTTACTTCTGACAATTCCAGTGGCATTAAGTGGGAATAAAGCAAATTAAAGAATTGATAATGAATGTACGTAACTACATGTACTTTATAACACGTGACAAAACAGTTGTTCCTTTTACCAACTGATCAACGATCAAAAACACGCAAAATTCGTTCGAAATGAGAAATGGACGTCACATTAGTTAAATCTTACCTGATCTTGCTCTCCAACATCAATAAAAGCCGGCAAGATCGCTTCCATTTCGATCTAATTTCAGACTTCCTCAACGTTCTATTCACTTTTTTTAAAAGATTCCGCTGACCAAAATTTTATACGTTCCGTTGACCTGTCATGTAAACTACCATGAATATTCTCCCTTATTTGCTGGTAGAAAAAGGTCATTTTCACACATACATACATGATGCAGTTCGTGCAACACGTGGACATTTTTCAAAATGGTGCTAAAGAAAGTCGACAATCGTATTCGCGTTTTGATTGAAAATGGCGTCCAGAAAAAGGAAAGATCACTGTTGGTTGTGGTGGGAGACAAAGGAAAAGATCAAGTAAGTTGAACAATATTCATACAGTTACTTTTGTTCGTCGTCTTGGTGTGATTCTGCAGTTTGCCAGATGTTGTTTACAACTTACTTGTCACTAGAATCTCAAAGAACTGACTCGTTATTGAAATTTCTATTTGAGTGCTCATGTTGTGTCAGCTTATTTGTAATAGGGTACCTGTAGCAAATAACTTATATGCCTTACACATTTGCATTAATGTTAATTTTTCCTAAAAGGTTAGGTACGTGAATGAATTACACATTGTTAAGCACAGCTGTTGTGCATTGAATTTGGTTGATATTAACCTTAGAGGCTTCAAGTGCTGATTCTAAATTTAGTAATGAGCTTAATAGTTTAAGTCAGCTTAAAAATTTAAACATTTCCNAGACACGCAAAATTCGAAATGAGAAGTGGACATCACATTAGTTAAATCTTACCTGATCTTGCTCTCCAACATCAATAAAAGCCGGCAAGATCGCTTCCATTTCGATCTAATTTCAGACTTTCTCGCCGTTCGCTTGAAGAAAATCTATTCACTTTTTTTAAAAGATTCCGCTGACCAAAATTTTACTGCGTTGCGTTGACCTGTCATGTAAACTACCATGAATATTCTCCCTCGTTTGCTGGTAGAAAAAGGTCATTTTCACACGTACATACATGATGCAGTTCTTGCAACACGTGGACAAAATTCAAAATGGTGCTAAAGAAAGTCGACAATCGTATTCGCGTTTTGATTGAAAATGGCGTCCAGAAAAAGCAAAGATCACTGTTTGTTGTGGTGGGAGACAAAGGAAAAGATCAAGTAAGTTGAACAATATTCATTAGGTTACTTTTGTTCGTCGTCTTGGTGTGATTCTGCAGTTTGCCAGATGGTGTTTACAACTTACTTGTCACTAGAATCTCAAAGAACTGGCTCGTTATTGAAATTTCTATTTGAATGCTCATGTTGTGTCAGCTTATTTTGTAATAGGATACCTGCAGCAAATAACTTATATGCCTTACACATTTACATTAATTTTAATTCTTCCTAAAAGGTTAGGTACGTGAATGAATTACACATTGGTAAGCACAGCTGTTGTGCATTGAATTTGGTTGATATTAACCTTAGAGGTTTCAAGTGCTGATTCTAAATTTAGTAATGAGCTTAATAGTTTAAGTCAGCTTAAAAATTTAAACATTTCCTTGTGGGTTACTACCTAGTTCAATGGTCAATAGATTAATTATTGACCTACATGTATGATAGTATATTGACGATCATAAACATACCTATAACTATGGATGCTACAATTCTATGATCAAGTTACTGAATGGCCTATCAACGTCCAATTGGCTGGCTGCTCAGACTGATCATCTTTCGATATACATGTAGACCTTGCAAGTTTATTCACGATCATGTTCAATTTCTTTCTATGTCACAGGTTGTCATTCTTCACCACATGCTGTCCAAAGCGACTGTCAAAGCAAGGCCTACAGTTCTATGGTGCTATAAAAAAGAACTGGGATTCAGTAGGTATGTGCCTTTATAACATTAATGATTATTGACATAATATACAGTCAAACCTCCCATAAGCAGACACCCATTGGACCAAAAAGTATCTGCATAAAAGAAGCCAGCATACATGTACTGGCTTATGGGAGGTTAAAAATGCAGTGTTTGTATGTGGCTGTGACCATTACTCATTACATAGACTGCTTAATAGAGGTGTCTGCCTATGGGAGATTTCTTTTAGCAGCGTTTGATTGTACTGTGAGCTATGTAAACTAGGTCTCTCTTTTGACACAGACTTTATATTTCAGTTTATATCCACAAAAATATGGAAGGTATTTTTTGTTTTCTTAATTCTTTAGTCACAGAAAGAAAAGAATGAAACAGCTTCAAAAGAAAATCAAGAGTGGGACCCTGGACCTGAAAAAAGACGACCCATTTGAGTTATTTATCTCGGCTACTAATATTCGATACTGTTACTATGCTGAAACACACAAGATCCTTGGTAATACATATGGCATGTGTATCTTGCAGGTAAGGACATCATAAGACTGCTTGACTGTATTATTTAACACTAACTGCTGTAAGTTAATATGGACTAAACTGTCCCAGCCTGCCAAAGTTTCTGTGCTTGTGTCACTTGTTCAAATACATTTAACTTGGAGCATCACAACAGTGTTTCCCCTGTATGGTACATGTACTATGTACATGTATGTTCTTATCCATATCAGAATCCTAATCTCCCCTCATTTTGCCTCCTTATTTTTTTACACCTAATCTTAAGGCTCAATTATACATTTTTGATGCTTCAAGCTCATTACTAATATTTACAATGTACATATAAATACATGCTCTTTTGCACTGACTCATAGTGCCTCTAGCCGACTCCAATCACGTACATATACATCTGCATGTAGTGTACATAATTATATGCGCATGTAAATGTAATACTTGAAACATTGGAAAATTATAGGTTACACATGTACATGCAGAGAGAGAAGAGGAAGAGAGGGGATGGGATGCAGGAACCTGCAGTGGCTAGTGACAGTCACAGAGCTGACCTGATGTCAAATCCACTTATTTTTATATCTATTAAACAATTATAATAATTTGGGTTATTTGCTTTCGATTTCTATTTGACATTGAGATTATGAGCTCAAGATTTCTATCGCATGATAGTTGATGAGGGTGCAGCCCGAGTTATGTGCCCTAACGCCAACTATCGTGTATAGAAATCAAGAGCAAATAATCTAGTTATTTTAGTATAAATCTAGTAGTCGTTCAAAACTTCAATCTAAATTCTCTTCAAAGACACTTTGAAAACTTAAAGAAATGGCTGCCAAAGCACACTGCAGCTGCTACACTACTCACTATCTACAACAGAATAGATAGGGTAGTGTAGCCAATCAGAGAGTGGCATTCATGATAGAATGCTAGTCGATATATACTGTTTAATAGGTGATACTTGGTAAGGCTGAAGGCTGTACAGCATGTTGTTCCTTGCCCCATGTTAGTTACAGTATACAGTGTGTGTTGCATGCTCTAATTTTGTTACTTTTGTCATAATTTTTTTTAATTTTGTGTAGGATTTTGAGGCTCTTACCCCAAATCTCTTGGCCAGAACAGTGGAGACAGTAGAGGGTGGTGGACTGGTTGTTCTTCTGCTCAGAACAGTGTCCTCTCTGAAACAGCTTTATACAATGGCAATGGTTTGTGTCATTTTGTAGCCTTTAATTGTACTTAATAATTTGTAATCAATATTTAACAAATTGACATCAGTTTTTCATGTGTCTGTCCTGTTATCGATCATAAATTATGTCGTATGTAACATTTTCTACATGTACTTTGACAATGTTATGACAAAATTCATGATCAATAACAGGACAGACCCATGAAAAACTGATGTCAATTTGTTTTTTACAATAACAAATTGTCAAATTGTCCGCTTTCGCTTGTCATGTCAACATAGCATAAATTATAAATTCCTGTGTCTGTCCACTTATTGACAATGAAAATTAGCCAATGAGTGTGTGAGAATTTCAGCAGTTATTGTAAAAAGACTGATGTTGAGTATTCAGACTTAAGCTTACTGAACTGCCAAAAGTACTACATCCAGTCACTGTCTGGAGAGGAGTATGCATGAGCGGATCCAGGATTTTTCTTAGGAGGGGGTGCACCACTAAGCAATGGCGTAGCTGACGGGTGAGGTACATGTAAACAAATTTGAAAGGCAAATATGGAGAAGGCTTCATTTCACTCAGGGGGTGGTGTGCACCCCCTGCACCGTCCCCCTAGATCTGTCCCTGGTATGACTGAGTTACAATAATGGAGATATGATCATTTTGATGAGATAATTAAGATTCTAGACCCTAGCAATGGACGTCTTTTTATTTAATGTTTAGAATACATGTAAATTTTAATGTTGTCTGGAACCTTTTATTTTTGATTTGTTGTAACTGCTTGCTCTTCAGGATGTACATTCCAGATACAGAACAGAATCTCATCAGGATGTAGTGGGAAGATTTAATGAAAGGTACATTGTACATGTATGCTCTGATTCTGCATGCACTAGCTATCAGTTAGCTGTTTGATAGAACTTTTCTAATACCTGCCCTTTAAGTTGTTGTTTTCTTAATTACTAGTATTCTGTAATAGTTAACATTGTGACTGAAAAGCCCTGTTGAAGGGAGTCTCAATAAAGTATGTACATGTATGTATGTAATGTAAACTTGCCAGTTGATCACTGAAAGTTGAATAAACTTGTTTCATTGATTAAACTTGACTGATGTTTGTTTTCTTTCTTTACAGATTCATTTTGTCGCTGACCTCATGTAAGAGCTGCATGGTTATTGATGATCAGTTGAACATCCTCCCAATATCCTCTCACACTCTAACCATCACTGCATTGCCACCAAAATCAAAGGTAATTATTGTTATATTCATTTTATTACCCTTTCTCACTTCCCTCTTAGCGTTTGTGGGGGGGAGAGGGGGGAGAGAGGAGGGGGGAGGTTGAGGGGGAAAGACCTTCAACAAATTATGAACAGTTTTGTTGCAGCTTTTAATTATCTTCTTGTTCAAAGTTTTTGATAAATGATGTTAATGGGACCTACAAGTAGGGGTAAAACTGCATCCAATATAATGTACTTTTTACCTGAAGCTGACGGGCCATTTAGTTGGCTGGTATATATATGCAGATTTTACCATTTTTGCCCAGAGAGAGAAGAATTCAAAAACTGCAAAATTAATAAGACTTGCCATTGATATCTTTGAATCTACTTCCTGCAGGAAGAATCCATGACTGTGAATGAGATTGAACTGAAAAGTTTGAAGGAATCATTACAAGACACACAGCCTGTGGGAGCAATTGTTAACTGCTGTCGCACCCTTGACCAGGTCATTTGAGTGAACAACCAGTTAAACTGGAGGTTGTTTTACATTTATATTAAGCTTAATTAGTGATTTACATGTGCTAAATGCTTATTAATATACTTGGTGCATGTAAAAATGCATGTACATGTAATACTTAGAATTTCTGGCTATAGTAGCAGCTACTATATATTTTACATACTACTAACAGTACTGTACATTGTACATGTATGAAGTGACCTCTACATGTACAATAAATGTATGCCCACTATGTACAAATACATTGTACACTAAGATGGTTGTACTTAAGAACAGCATTGAATATCAAGCATGAACAGTGTTTGACAGCTTCTTCTAGACAAGTGTGGCTGTGGCTCATAAAAAGTTGGGTATATAAAATGTTTCTTGTTGTGACATTCCCAGGCAAAAGCAGTTCTCAAGTTTGTTGAAACAATATCGGAGAAGACGTTAAGGAGTACTGTGACCATTACTGCTGCCCGTGGCCGTGGAAAATCAGCTGCCTTGGGACTGTCTTTGGCCTCTGCTGTCGCATTTGGGTATGTTCAGATACATGTAGGACTCAGTGCTGTCAACAAAGTATTTTCTTCTTTTTGAACAAAACATGATTAATTTTGTTCCACATCAATTTTTGTAACTTTGATTGATATTTTTTTCTGTTGTCCCTCTACCAAGTGTAACTACCGGTATTGCATCATTTTTCATTTCTTAGGTACTCAAACATGTTTGTCACCTCACCAAGCCCAGAGAATTTACACACATTGTTTGAGTTTGTCTTTAAAGGATTTGATGCTCTAGAATTTCAGGTTTGTTAGAAATCTATGTTGAACCAAAAGACTTGCCATTTTCAGAGTTGACATGTTTGTACTGAATATACACTTTGTGCATGTATGTTATTACATGTAATTTGAGACATGCAATCACCAATTTCTTGAAATCAAAGTGCTTCAGATAAAATAATTAATTACAAGAAGAGTATTTTTTACACCTATGTTCTGTGTAGGAACATTTGGATTATGAGTTAGTGCAATCAACCAACCCAGAATTTAACAAGGCAGTTGTCAGAGTGAATATCTTCAGGGACCACAGACAGACTATTCAGGTAAAAAAATATGTATGCTTGTTGATTATAGATGTTCCTTTATAACATAGCGCATGCAGGTCCTACCTTATTCCTGTTGAGAAATCATGGTGAAAATCTCAATTTATGCACAGCTGTGCGTAAATAACATGATGTGTGCAGTTTCATTTTAGCTGCAAAATTTCTGTCGAGTTTAGCTGCGAGTTCCTTTTGCTAATGTTTCAGCAATGTGAACATCCTGAACAATCCAAACCCTACATGTACTTCAAGCCTTTGGCTTTCATGTCAAGCTTAAATATTGACTGAAACTTGAGTATTTTGACTCTTTTTGTCTCCATTTTCATTGAGTATTTTTACTTTGTTTGCCTACATTGTCATAAATTCGAAGTAGTGAATTCTTCATTGACAATTTTAGGAACCAGATGAAGCATTTACGTTGAACTGTTGCTCAAGTGATCGTGGCGTGTTTTTAACCAGGGAATAGGATCATTTGTTTTCCTTCACTGTGAATTGTGAGAACTTTGTAGTCAATCACAAATAGAACATGTTTTAGTACCCAAGTTGTTGTCGCTATGTTATAAAAGAATTGGTTCATGCTTTTAGCTGTGTATATATCGAGTTATGGATGCACTTGGGAAGTTTGGAGAGCACTCAAGAAGCTAGAGTTGCTCTCAGCTATCGCCTCAAGCAACTCTTACACTTCTCTCGTGCTCTCCAAACTTCCCACATGCATCCATAACTCAATATACGCAAATGTTAAGCGTGACCCAATTCTTTAGTTGCATGTAATGCAAGTGATCAAAGCCATGAGAATTTTGTGGCTTTTTGCTTCTCACTCTGTAATCCCAAACTTCAACTGGCCAGCATAATAGGGTTGTAATACATCAAAGTCGCTGGAGCTTTGTAGCCCTTTCCATGCACTATACTGTGTCTCTTCATATGATGCTAGCCAGTAAAAGGATCATTCTGTCAGTTCTCCAGTCTATGACAGTGACTGTGCAATGTTTTGAAGAATGTAAACCTGACAACTGAATGTTCCATTTAGTACATCCACCCATCAGATTCACACAAACTTGGTCAGGCGGAGTTGGTGGTCATTGACGAGGCTGCTGCCATCCCTCTTCCACTGGTTAAAGATCTCATGGGACCATACCTTGTGTTTTTGTCATCAACTGTAAACGGGTAAGGCTGAGAGAAGTGTTTGTCTTGGAAGTACATAAATATGACTAAGACTTTGCAATCGGTAGTTAACGTAAGTCTTCCTTGTAGTTTTGGTGAAGGAATAACTTTTAATAAAAGAAGTATGTACAGTAGGAACTAAATTAATTCCAAGATATGTAGTATATGGCAGTTAATTACCTTTTATGTTCACTATTTTAGTCAGATGTACATGTGCTTTACATCTGTTGCCCTTCAATTTACTTTATTGTACTCTTTATACTCAATAGTTCAGTTACTGTGCAGTTGTTGAAACATTTTTTTTTTCAACTTACCGATTAAGTTGAAATAAATGTTTGTTTTGTTAATTTTTGTCATCTTTCAGATATGAAGGAACGGGTCGATCACTCTCCTTGAAACTGATCCAACAGCTGCGAGAACAGAGCACAACTCTAGGGTCTGCCAACAAAGGCAGCAGCTCTGCTTCTCTTGGTCGCAGCCTTCAGGAGATAACACTGAATGAGTC